AATTTTTCATCCTTCTCTTTCTGCGCTCCAGTATTCTGTCATTCCATTGTAGCATGTTTGTAGACATAATATTTCCTCAGGAGGTGTTGCTTGTTTAGGCTGTGATAACACAGTCCCTGTGGACTGCTCTGTTATCGGACAATCACCTGCATGAAAAGGATATCTTCACCCTGCACCCGGTCTATGCCCTCATCTCACGGTGAATGATGGGATACTGGAAGAAGGCAGGGCCAGGCCAGGTTCACTTCACTGTGTCACGTGACTGAATATGAGCCACCCATGCAGGTGCATCAGTGGCATGTGATGGATACAGTGTGATACACATAAAGTGCTCGTACTGTGAATACACTGGGCCTGTTTAATATGGTAAAATCAGTCCTGCTCCTAAACACACATCCTGCTTTAGCTAAAAATATTAGTATAATTTCTATATCTTACTGAAATATATTGGATGTTAGTCATGCCAAAAAAAACTAACTTTTAATTTAGCTGAAAACGGAAACTGAAAATAACATTTATTTAATAATCAACACTGAAATAAAAACAGACTTGAATATAAGCATTTAATTTGCAGTTTTTATATCAGATTTTAATTATATATAGTTGTTTTTACTTCAGTTCATTGTTGAAATATACATATTTAAACAGTGGCTGTGATTTTTTCAAAGATGCATTAAATGAGACATCACCATCAGGTTAATTATAAAGATAATGGATATGTAATATATTGCAAAATGCTCTTTGGAGTTATTTTTCTAGCTGAGTTTCTAACGAGTTTATGGACATTGTCTTTCCTGAGATAAATGAGATGTTGTGTGACATTATTGATCACAAGCTGATTTACTGAAGCACTGACTGATCTATTACATGAGACGTGATTTAGAAGTTGTTCTGTTTCTTCTGATGTTCATTCATGATTATTTTGTGCTATAACTAGTAGTAAAGATGAAGAAATGATCGGTTCACGTGCCGCTTGAACTGAGGCTACAGCAGTCTGTCACGACACATTTAGCTATTGTTTGAATTTTGTTATAACAGAATTTGAAAGCTGAGACTTTGTTTCATATCACAAGTAACAGCGCAAAGCTTATTGCGATTATTGGATGGGAGTCACACTGCAAAAATGTTTAGTTATTTTGTTCACGCGTTAACTGAAAAGAGCGTGGACTAGAAGATCTTGATTCATGAAAATGAAGATTGATTAAAATCCAGAAATCAACATTATTAACCCAACGTTAACATCCACACAGCTGACATGTAGTTTATCCACGTTGTTTGAACAAAATAAACACTAGCTGTGTTTCCATCCATCTATTTTAATGCAAATTTTGGGATATCGCATTAAAAAACACTGGATGGAA